ATCTATCTAGCTCCCCTATATTTATTTTTACTTGTATATATTTCTCTATTTCTCTTTCTAATGTTCTGCTTTTTGAAATTTGCATTTCTTTCCCTTGGAAACTCTCCCAATTCATTCAGCTAACACGTCAGAATGACAAAAACATAAAGCCCGAGCGAACCCCGAGTGCAGAACGCGCTCGTCTCTACGGAACTCTGGCACAGAAATTTCTCTCGGTGCATTTTAATACCTCAGGGATGCACAGATGTGTTTTATACACTCCCATTTTACAGGGAAGTAAGAGGTGGAAAGACAAAACTCACTTTCTTAACCCTAAGCCATTCCTGACATAACAAAACCCTAAGGACGGAGTGCACTGAGAGGGGGTTTCTTTCCAAGGGAATTTAGAGAGGTCAATTCCTGTTCCTTGCCAATACCTACCGTGAAAACCAGACCAACTCCACAGGTTTTTGGATTCTGCATCCAGCCCTCCCAGGCAATTTCCTGGCAGCTCGGGGTCCCCTCTGGGCAAGGGTACCCAGCACGAGCCCTCCCCATTCCCCGCTCACCTTGCTCCTCTCCAGCCACAGCGTGTGCCTCCCTCTGGCGGGGACCTCGGCGTGCCCCAAGGGACACGGGAGCCCCCCAGTCTCCACCCCGGCCCCCTCATCCTTTGCTCCTCACCCCCAAAGAAGGCACAGAACAACTCCAACTGCCCTGGACAGCAGCACCTTGCTTTATTGGAAGCCTTTCTAGGTCTAGACTACAGGGCTGGGGTGATGGTGCTGCCTTCTGCATGCCTTTCCTTTGTGGACACAAACCAGTGCAAAAACAAAGCCCTGAAGCAACCAGGATCCTCCTGAGAGGGCCACTCCGTTCCAGCAGCAGTGCTGAACACACTCCCCCTCTTCTCCCAGCCCTGGCCAGCGCTACAGCAGGCAGAGGAGGGAGCTGCCTGGGGAAAATGGAATCTTGGCCCTGCTCCACCAGGTACCAACCTCTTCCTCTGCCAGACAATGTGCCTTCACACAAAAGACGAGTCCCCAAAGGATGGGCCTTGCAGGCTCTTGCCTTGGAGTGGGAGCAGCTCCACCCCGCTTTTATTCTGGTGGCAGCTTGCTTCCTCCCAAGGTAGAGACTGGTGCTCCCAGGGTGGGCACTCCCGGGGAAATGGCCAGGCCTCCCAGCCCTGCAGTTTAAAAATGAGCACAGACACACAGAGAGAACCATGGACAGGTGTTGTGAGGTACCTCATGGAGGTGAAGATTTAGTTTTATATAAGCATTGTTAAAGTGGAGGCAGGGCTGAAATGCCTGACTAGTGTGAATCTTGACCTCCTGCTTCAGGGGATGGGCCCAGGATTGGTTTGTTGCACCTTTTCAGGGCTAATTTAGCAGACTTAAGGGTTTGGTGATGTCAGCATTGAAACAAACAGAAATCTGTGAAAAAGAAACTGAACTAAAGCTGGCTAAAAGCCGTCCCTGCTGATGACTCATTAAAACAACTCAGTCAAAAGGAAGCAGGATCAATTCAATACTCACCAACTAAGGTCAGAGTTCTCTGCCCACCGAGGACACAGCGACCAGCAGGGACCTTTCTCCCACTCTCCAGCACAGGCTTGCTCCCTCCACAGGCAGGGAACCGCAGCTGCTCAGGGAGACTCAGTCCTGGGCTGGCAACATGAGAGGCACAAGGAATATTTATAACTCGTTCCAACCTCAGCGCTGTCCAGACCTGTGAGAAAGCACTTCCCACACCACTCTTGGAATTTTCTTCCCTGTCCCTTCCAGCTTTGTAAGGTTTCTGTGGGAGAGGAGACTATGGGTGCAGTTCAGAAGCTGCATGGGGTGCCTAAAGCATTCCCTCCAGAACATGGAGCTTCCCTCATGCCTTTCCATTTCTTTATCCCAAATAATCTCCACAATCTGGAAAAAAACTTCGCTTGTCATTCATCATAAAAAAAGAATTTTGCGAAGAACAGCTCTATTATTTTTGCATGACAGCTATATATGAGAATGTATGATCCAAGTGATTCCAGAAGAATTCATTTACACTTACAGCAAGTCTCAGAATTTCACACACGTTTCTTTGGTATGTGTTTTTCCACAGAAAGACTTTTTTTTGGTAATTTTTAAATATGTCTGTAGTTCAGTAACAAAGAAACTTAGAGGGTATACCTGGAAAATTTTCAGTGTTACTATGACTACAGGGCATACATCATTATTTTCAGGTCTCATCACTGTAAACCACAAAACATCAAACAACTTCAAAAAGCAACAGACTGATGACATCAGTTCATTGCCTCTAAAAATACAGCACATATAAACAATGAGGGTCAATGTGACAGCACTGCAAGTGCCATTTACATTCCTTTTTTGTTGGTGTTGCAAGACTAGAAAAATCAGCTTTCATACAAAAAAACCGAAAAGGGACCAAAAATAGCCCTAAGACATAGGTAAATGCACTACAATATGCACAAAGAACTTGGCAAGACAACTCAAAACCATGCTTCCATATCTCATGGATAAGGTAACGAATGTCTCACAGCTGCATGTGGACAGCAGTGTGGCCTAAGCTCGTTTCTTCTAAAATACCAAAGCAAAAATTTTCACCAAGGCATTTCTAAATGTTTTTCTAAGCACAATGGCTGAAGAATGCTGAACCACACTAGATATAGTTAACCAGAGTCCAAAGTAATTGTTTTTAAAAAAGTAACAAATTCAAACAACAATTACATGTTATTCTTTGATATGCTCAGTGTTTAAAAAAAGCGACCCAAATGAAACAAAACCAGAACAAACAAAAACCCCCAACCCAAACCCTACCCTTATGTAACAGTTTGCTTTACTCCAAAATGTTGCTGAGTTTCAAAAGGAAGTCTTATTGTAGACTACACAGTTGAAAAAATATACATTAATAACTACAAGATATTTTAGGACAGAAGAGTTCCTTTGAAAATGCAAATATAGTCCCATTTTATATTTTTCTCAGTAAAAACATTTGAGATAAATTGTGCTGAAGTCAACAAAATAACATTATTAAACCCAACTCTGCTCTTTAAGGTATCTTCAGTCAAAAACTTGACACAGAATCATACAGAAATGTACTTAATATTTTATCCTAATTTTCCCTTCCCAAAAGGCCTCATTTTCCTGCAGATTGACATGGCTTAGGAAAGCAGTGAGAAGTCTTTATGTTTAGTTCTCACAGAAAATGTGCAATGATTTTTGTTTTTTGCTATCTTAGCCTTTGTATAAAGGATGCTAAAACCCAAAGGAGAGAGTGATTTCAGTATTGCCTTGGGCTCTTTAATGCTGATACAGTTCTAAAAACCCTATTTTGACAGGACAGAAGAATGAAAAGATACAGGGAAGAAAAAAATGTGTCACAACTGTGTGGGAGAGAGAGGCAGGGGCAGGGAGGACCCAGAACACACAGAACAGAGGGCCCAAGGGCCTGGGACTTGTTGCAGCTCCAGCTGTTAGTGCTGCTTCTTTCTCCTTCTCTCCTCCCTTCTCAGCACCTCAGAGGGTTTGCCTATCCTCTACCTAAGAACAATCTGAACATTAAGAATAGTTAGAATAGACAAAGCTATAGCTTAAATATTACTTTAAAATTAATAGCTGGAGTGGACAGCCCAAAGATCATGGGCTACCACACCTGGATTTGCAGTTTTGCAAATAAAGACTTCCTCTCCCACAGAAACTCCTCCCACTACTGAGCAGCTTTGCCTAAACAAGGATTTGAGGACACTGCCTCATTACAATATACTATATCCTGTTTCACTGTATACAATATGTTGAAAGACCCCCAAGCTGTTCACCAGTCTTCACAGAAGTAATTGTGAATGCCGTTTATTTCTATCTTTAGCACACCTTTTTATAGGGTTCTACAGGGTCTGTGGGCAGAGCAAGCTACTATTGGCTAGTACACACAAGTTTACATTCTTATCCTTGTACACAGGAACATTGTTTTACTTTCTACAGGCAAGTTTCAAGGATTTTAGCCTTTAATATTGCGACTTATCCCAGAGGCTGGTTTGTGCAGACAGACCTTTACCAATATATAAAATACAGCAACAACAATACAGTAGAACTGGCTGGTAGGCATCTCTCCTAAAAAACAGAGAAAGAAAAGCACAGTGCCTTAGGACCTCCAAAGAATGTGATCTAATCTAATGGATGGCACTGAGTTTGTCTGCATCATCAGGTTCCACCAAGTGCTGCCATGCTGCTCCTGAAGCATCTCAGGATTCAAGTTCTCTTCAGCCCAGGGCCAGACAGCTTCCAGTACCCAGCAGCAGACACCTTTCTGTATTTGTGTATGAAAGCATCAGTTTTCCCCAGTCTAACGGCATAGACACCCTCTGGCACCAGAGACCCGAAATATCTGCTGAGAACAGCTTCTTCACCACTCAATGCCAAGGAGAAAGAATTCCCATCCACACTCGGGGCTTGTGTAGGGGCTGCTCCGCTGTCGCCATCAGCAGAGGCTTCGGCAGAGTCACCTCCAGCACGCATGGTCAAATCATCCACGCGTCTGCGGAGCTCCTGGCTCAGCAACAACACGAGAGTCCCCCCAACACGAAGCACTCTGGCAATCACAGGAAAAATAAAGGTTAGGTGTTGATCCTTCCTGGCATCCCTTTGCCTGTGCAGAATGCAACACTGCTGACACTTCAGATGCCACCTGCATTCAGTAAAACATCTGAGTGTGTTGTAGCTCAACTCAGTGAGCTGCATCTCCAAAAGGAATTTAAATCCCAGACCTTCTTACCTCTTTCTAAATGGGAGAACAGGGCCTTGTCTTGACTCCAAAACATTTCTGCTGCTATCAGTTCTTTCTACTGGGTTATCAGGGAAGATAGACTCATTTTTTTACCCCCTTCAGCATTCTTTCAAGGACTGAGGGTCCCATCAAGCCTATGTTTTTTGGAAATTGCAAAGCAACAGCCTCCCACTGCAGCAAGGGCTTCCCAGATTAGTAGGGTAATTCTGAAACTGGCCCTTCCTTTTGGAAACTTTAAAAGTCTGCCCTTTCCCTGTTCCATTGATCCTTAATAGCTTTTAAACTCAGGAAGTAGAGGAAAATTAACTGTTGTTTGTAATTAATTTTTCTACATATATGTCCAAACATTACACTTGACTTTGAAAGAGGGGTAAAAAAAATACTATCCTGACTGAGTTTACAGCAAGTAGCTTGAACAGGGGCTCTCATGGTAATGGTCCCTTCGTCATCTCCACCTTCCCAAGGGACTATTTTGCTTAGGATGGACCAACAGAGCAAGTAAGGCCGGAAGACAAGCCCAGTAGGATCGGCACACCAATCTGTGGAGCCACACCCCACCCTCTCCACCGCCTTCCTGCATTGGGTTCGTGAGATCAACACCCACTGAAGACCAGTCCCAGAGAAAGGGCTTGTTTTTAGGCAAGAAGCAGAGGGGAAGATGGCTTGAACTGTCTGTTAGAAGCAGCAGTTTAGCTTAGCTCAAATCTGCCATAAAGCGACATAGTGAGAGATGAAAGGACACACCTAAAAATCAGACCAGGTTGCTAGTCAGATACTCCTGGATAGCAAGGAAAATACATCCCACTTTTTCTAGTCCTTCCTGTCAAGGCAGGCTGGTCAAAGCTTGGCCGTGACCTCAAAAGAGAAAAGCCTGTGATTTTATACAAGCAGGCCTCAACTGAAAAAGGATTATAGCTTATACATTACACCTGCCCATGCTTTAACTTTGTCCAGGTAGGCCTCTCCTCTTTTTCTTTTCTGCCACACTTTTGAGTGTGGCTCAGAAATATTTCACCATCGTGCCTTGCAAAGAGCATTTGTGAGCATGGTTCAAACAAGATCATCCCCTGTCAGCCTGCACTGCCATTGGCACTCACAGCTGGCAATACACAACACAACAGCCTCTAAGGGAGGTGTAAACAGTCTCTAAGGGACATGTAATTCCACAGCCTGCACAGGGTCAGACTAGAGAGCTGCAGACTGTTTGAATAAAGCAAATCTGAAGCTGACATCACAAACCATTGTGGCACTTACATCAAGCCCCAAACATGTCAAAGGCTACACCTACCTCTCCATTTCCTGGAGAATATCTGTTAGAAGCTGGGCATCATTTGTGGTCTTGAACTTCTTCCCAAATGGAATATCTGAAATAACACTGTCGAAGCTTTCAGAAGGCAATGGCAACACTGCAGAATAAAGGCAGGTCTTTATATCTCTCTGTCTGAAAAATGCACAGCAGCTATGTCACCAGTTCCCCTTTCAACACTATCTGACAGCTCTTTTTGGGTTATGCACCCAGATTCACAGGTCCTTCTGCACTTGCCCTCACAAACACCACTATGGAGCCACCACCCCTCTTCAGACTGGGAAGAGACAAATGCATGACAGCATCATTTAGTTTGCAGATTCCCTGGTCCTGATGAGGTCTGCCCCTGCAGCAAGACTCTCCTATAGGGCACCACATGGGTCCAAATTAACTGCTGTGTCTCAACACACAGTACATCTTAAACATGAAAATAATTTAGCAAAACACAGAAGAAGAGCTAAGTTTGTGAGCACTTAGTGCAAATGCTCAAGTATGTATGTATAAATGGCAAGGAACCACATCAAATTCCTCTCCATTCCCCTTTTCTCCCCCCAGAAATCTGGTTACAGCCAGAATCACCTGGATTCTGCCAGCTAGTGTCTTTGAAGTGTTGCCTTAAAGTTTCTGCATCAGAGCAAAGGTCAGTTCCCCTGACGAAGATGCAGCCCTGTGCCTGTGGTGATGAAGGCTGGCCACATGCCAGGCTGTGCAGGCCAGGCTGAGATCCCTCCTGAGATCCTGGGGTCCTCCATCCCTCAGGGTGCTCAAAACTGACTGGTCAAGGCCCTGAGCAGACAACAGGACTGAAGACTTCCAACAGTCCCTCCTCATCTAAACTCTGCTGAGATTCTACACTAACTTTTCTAGAGCTAGCTGGAGATGTTTCCCAGACCATTCTTGGGCCAACACTTGCAGCACAACAACTGGGTATCAATTTTATCTGCAAATGAAAGGATGTCACCTACAGTCCTGTTCAAGACATGCAGAAATAACAGCTTTTGACCAGTAATGAAGACACCAACTGTTTGTTCAGTTTAGAAAACCCGACACGTAAGTAAGTACCTTCCATTATCCTAGAAACCAAACATGGCTTTTAAGTGAGAAATAAACCTACATTTTTATTAAAAAAAAAATAATATTTCTTATCATTCCAGTAAAAAATAAATACTACAAGGTAAAAAAATATGCAAACTCCATCACTCATGCACAAGGGAAAACAGCCAGCTTGCCCATCAAGAATTTCATATAGTGATAATTTACTCTCAGACTTTGAGGTCCAGAATAAGGTCATGAATTTATTACCTTCTCTACAGACTAGCTTGTGAATTAAGAGCAAACAGATTCCCTCTTACAGGAAAAAGGCATCATCATTCAAAATACACCAACTGCAAAACATGAACAATTCAGCTTATCTTAATGAGTCCTCACCATTGCTCACCTGGTCAATTTAAGTTTCAGGATGCATTTTATTTAGATTTCTCCTGGCTGGAACTCTCACATGTACATACTCTTTGTCGTACCCACACATTTACCATTAAGAGAGACAACTACTGTCCATGCCAGACAATTATAATTTTTATTGTCTTCTGCTGACTTCATTCTTACCAAAGTTCCCAGGTGCAGGCAGCAGGGAGGAAGAACAAATACTTATCCCTTCACAAGCACTACAGAGTCACCACCCAGCTATTTGTTGGGAGTTAGCTCTAAAATATATCACCTCGAGAGAACCTACATTTCCTGTAGAATCCCAGAAACACAAAAAAGATTCACTTGGAAAGCCTACAGACATACCTTTCACAGAAGCTTTAAGCAACTCAATCTTATCCATTAAGCCTGCAGTTCTAATATTCCCATCTGCACCTTCTAACTGTGAATCACTTATATCAGCACCCCAGTAATAGGCTTCCTGTTCAGAGAGAAAGAGGAAAGTACTTTTGTTAACACTCGGGTTATTTGTTTTATGAACCCTTCTCAGAATTGCCTTGCTGCACAGCTCCTGCAAGACAACCCCCTTTCTGGGATATCTGCTATTGTTATACAGAGCAACTCGCAATCCAGAGGATGGAGGAACAGATGAAGTATGTGCTGTCTTCATTCCTGTGATGTTCTGGTCTACTCAAGACACTTGAAATTACAGAAATATCAAGAGCATGTCCTAACAGCAAGATGGCAGCTAGGTACAGCCAGCCCCACTGCCTCTAACGGTCCCATCACACCAACTCCTCCAAACCCAGAATAAGCCCAGGAAGATTTACGAGTCCGTGGTTGCCTCACACAAACCCTGCAGTGTGAATCAACAGCTGCACCAGCCTGCAAGACATTCATTTGCAGGAACGTTTGTACTAAATTACTTTTAGCAGCTGCCTAGAAAGATTGGGGTTTTTTTTCACCTTTCCAGCAATGGACTTTGGCCTAACCAGTAGAAAGAAAACCCTGTATCACAACTGGCAGTTTCCCTGCAAAGGTCCAGCCAGCTGTGACTGGGATACTTACAGGCCATTCTTTGGCAGCCTCCAGCAGTATCATTCCTAGCCCACACATGGGATCCAGCACAAAGGCACCAGCCTACAAAAACAGAGGGGTTACTGCATCCCAAGCAAGACAGACACAGGACAAAGCTTACAGAGGCATGTACATAATCCCACCCAGTCCAGCACAGGTCAACAATAATCACTGGTAATCTCAGGCCAAACTCGCTTGTAAGGGAACATAGTAAAAAGCACCAACAGCTTCACTACAGACAGCCCTGAGGTGACATTCAGGAGGAAATACTACAAGTGGTCTGCAGACAGATATTGGTACCAAATTAATCTGTGAAAAGATGTCACATTTCCTTAGAAAACAACACCAAACAAGGTTTCATATTGTCACTGGACAGTGAAAAACATGCTGCTACTTAGACATGTATCTGTACAAGAATTAACAGCTCTGTTGAGGAGCACCTGGAATTACAGCAGACACCTGGCTGAAAGGCAGGTGACAGCACACTCTCATCACAGGCATGGCAGATCCTGTCCACATGCACTAGAGAATGGGGCATTAAAATCACCACTCTCCTTCACAGTATCCAGCTCCAGCCCCGATGAGCAGCACCCCCCTCTCATTCATTCAGGACTCCATTTCTTTGCAAGGAACATTCACTGACACTGATTTCAGCCAGAGATGCCATGGCCCATGCGACTGTTGACCGCAGTCCTGCTGTTTGGATATACTCTCTGTTTGCCAATGGAAGCCTGCAGACAGCAAAAAATCAAACAAAAAAATTAACTAAAACATCAGCAGAACCACCTAGAAAAGCCCACATAATGTCAAAGAACAAATGAACTGGACAGATCTACTGAAGGACAGAGAAGTCTGCTTTTAATTATAACTCAATGCAAAGTCTGGTCTGTGTGTTCATTTAAAACCCAGGCAGATGACAAGACCAGTTTGACAACCAGTGATTATCAAACCAGAAGAGAAATACTCATGGTGGACAGCAAGATTTACAAATCTGTTCTGATACTGCCACGACAAATCTGGTGGGGAGAATGCTTACCTGAAAAGAGGAATCCCCACCACAGAGTGAATGTCATTAAGATGTACAAAGATCTAAAAGAGGAAAAAAGCAACCCCAACATTTTGAAGTCTCAAACTGACACGACAATAGCTTTAATTTAAACCAGACACAGATGCTTCTGCAAGTTTTTAAGAACAAAAATGCATACTATAAACAATAACAATTGGAAGAAATCCCACTAGATAATCTGAATGCCAATTTAAAGGTGATTTAATGCTTAAGCAAGCTGAAGGGGATTTTGTCACCCAGGAATCCATCAGCAATAAATTCAAGCAAGCACTTGAATTTATAAGGGGACCTATTTTTCCTTAACACAGCATGGGAATTTTTATTTATAAATCCATTTACTACAAGTGGGAGAATATTATTCACGGTATACTAGCAACTAAATTAATAAATAAAGATGAAAAAAGCGCCAACCAAACAAAAAAAACCCAAAAAACAAAAAAAAAATACAAAAAAAATCAAAAAAACCCAAACCCCAACAAACAAAAAACCCAAAACAAACAACAACTAACCCCACCATTACCCCCACTAGTGCCACTAAGGGGAAATTCCAATAGAAGTCATGTATAAGTAATCCTTCCAGAAATGTAGGCAGCTAGAAGAAATTGTTCTGCTGTCCCACAGAGAGCATACCAAGAGAAGACTGAGCTCCCCAGCAGGTTTTGCATGACTGCAATCCCTGCCCCGAGAAAGCACATCATGCTGTTGAAAAATCCTAGTCCTCAGCATTTGAACAGTTTCAGAGCAAAAATCTGGGCAAGAACAGATGAGCCTCAACAAACCTGCACATAATGCTCAGTATGGGAAAACCAGTGCCAGTAAATGAACTCAAGATTTTCAACAAGTCTCAGATCTCTCAGCATGAGTGCTGAGAGCAACATCCACAAGTCAAGTGCAGGGATGGAGAAGCAGTTCGTCAAGAGCAAGGAGTCCTTTTGAAGGTCTCCAGGCAGCTGCACCAGCAAGGGTACACTAAGCCAGCTGTTTGTCACACACAAGGCCCGGGGGAGGCTCTTCCACAAATGGCATTCTCAAATCTAGCTCCTTGAGAACATGCCCTTGCTGCTTGCTTACTTCCCCTCCAGAGGCCACAGATGCCCCATGGCTCAGGTGATTTCCATTTTTACACAGAGTCCAGCAGTCTGTATGGGTGCTGGATCCTGAAACACCTGCTGTATGGATCCTTCCCCGCCCATGCAGGCCCAAGCAGCCAGGCTGGTGTTTATTACAGAGCTCTGGAAACCACACACACACAGGGACAGCACACGTGCTTTGCTCAGTGGTTCCAGCTGATTTACAGGTAAATTCAGGGGCAGAAAGACCAGCAGGGAGAGGCCGTGGTCCCACGTGCCAAGGTTCAGGGGTGATTCTGGAAGCATCAACAGGCAGACAAGTACCACTACCTCCAGGTCAGGGTCCCGCAGATCAGCATGCCACCCACACTGCTTCACAAGTGCGATGCCAATGGCTTTTCCAATCTCCTACAAGGGGAAAGAACAGTCACAGGCAATTAAAAAACCACAGAATTCGGGAAACTGTAGATCACAGCCTTGGATGCACAACCCTCAAAGGGAAAAGAAAAATCCACGCAATTCACACTGGAAGAGGTACAACAGGGCACATCAAGTGAGTGGGGGGCAAAGCAAACATGCCACATGGCAAACAACCGATGTTTAACTGGAGCGAGAGAGGCTAAAGTTCAAGTCCTGACCAAGTCACAACAAAATATTCACTTGAGTTGGACTTGATCCTTGTGGATCCCTTCCAACTCAGAATATTCTGTGATTGCCACCATTTTGCAATTCTTAATCACATGCACAAAATACTTCCAATGGCTCTAAGGCAGATTATCCAACAGAAAACCTACAAATGCACAACTATAACTCACAGTTTTAACATTTTCATTACATACAGAAAGCTCTGATTACCTTCAGATTGTATGTTCAAACATAGTTTGACAAATTTAGTCAAACACCTTTGTAGGGAGGCTCATGTGTCTCACCTCACCAAGGTACTAGTTTTCCAAATCTAAATTGTTACCTTTAAGCGAGAGAAAATTTCCCATCTGCACAGATGGGAAAAGGGCTGGATCAAACGGAATCTTGGAGGTCTGTATGCCACTATTCTTTTCCAAGGACCAAGCTCCACTTCTCCCAAGACCCATCCCAGGGTTGCATTCCTGAAGAACAAGTTCTCCCCAGTGCCCAACCAGAGGCAACTGAAGCTGCAAGTTCTGGCTTTTATCCCTTCTTCTAGACTGAATGCCACAGCTGAGAGAAGCCTGGCTCCATGGTCCTTGCAATGGCCCTGTAAGTAGCCGTAAACTTATTCCATCACTCCTTAGCCTCCACAGGCCCAGAAACCTCAAACTCTTTTTGCTTATCCTCAGTAAAAGGAGTGTTGAAAAACACTGAGGGTAACAGTGCACAAAAATGAAAAACAGCATTTGTATTTTCACTTGTTTAAGGTGAATGCAGATTAAGGGCTTTTTGAGAAAATACAGAGAAAGCTTACATCAGTTTGTTATTCCAGAACACACAACACAGCTGAAACTACAAACTACATATCTCTGTTTACCTTTGCTGAATTCTTTTAAAACACAGATACATCAGCATACCTGTGAAGTAAGTATTTTGGCAATCGCTCCGCTACAACGACAAGACACTCTGAAACTGAAGCTAAGCTCCTCATTCGCAGTGGGATTCTCCCCACTGCCTTTGGAAGGGAATTCTGAGGAAGTCTTGCTCTCAATACAGCACTCCTGACCGCTCATTCTCTCCGGTGCCACACAGGTCTCTCCAGCTTCCGCCTGACATTCCTCAGACATAATTGCTCTCACTTGTTCTGTTTTTTGCCTTTTACTTGCAGTATTTGTCTCTTCTGAATTTCTCTTCAGAGCCGATGACTTTTCTTCAGAGACATCATCTGTTTTCCTCTCGTGTCCATGAAGCTTTCTCCAAACAGAGATAATATCCAGCCAGTATTCTGGTTCCTCAGTGACAAAGCTTTTAATTTCATGAAGCATTTTCCCTGGAAGAAAAAAGCAGATTTGGGTTAAGTACTTCAGCCTCGGCATTTCACTTCCCTACAAACTGAGAACAGCTGTTAACAGCAACTGTGTTCTGATTTCATTAATGTGTGAATCCAAAAACCATCAGCTGACACCAAAGGCACAGCTGAGCTCTCAGCACCCACTAGAAGCCACACAGGCATCCCTCTGATTACAAGCTCTGCCCAAGCAAGATTAAATCACGCAAGCTTTGAATTCTGCACAGGAAATCAACAGCTGTAGAAAACCAGACCACTTGAGACTCTCACCATGGGAGAGTCATTCCCAGGGACAGAGGACCATGCCATCCTCCCCAGAAAGCACTTGGCCCAGGATTAAGGGATGCAGGACACTTTCCAGAATTGAAAGACAGATACAAACATTAATTACTTTGAGTCATCTCAGACAAAAACAAGTTTATTCTTTGAGAAAGAAAATTTCTGCTTCCCATTCATCACTTTGCCTTCAATCCTGACACATGTGGGCAGTCTTGCAGCTAGCTACGAGAGGCACAAGGAACAGAGAGGCCAATTCACTTAAATAGTTCAAAGCTGGTCAAGAAAAAAAAATAAAGGTCTTTATAGTTATCACTTAAAATTTTAGAATCATGATCAAATTTCATTCTCAAAGGTGAAGGTAATCTCCCACATAAAAACCCACCAGGAGGCAGATATCAATCCATCTAACCTGAAATTCTCATTCCAACACTGACAGAGAGGATGACCCAAGTAGCTGAGACTTAGAAGGAAGCTGTGTACTCAACAGTAAACTGACACAAGATATAGGTCGGGATTCACTCTTTTTAATAGAAAAAAAGACCTACTGTTAAACCCAAGAGATCTAGAACTGAACTTTGGTTTTCGAGTGGGGTGTCGTTCTCTTTTTTGGGACCAGACCGGGGACAGAATCTCAAAAATACAAATATACATTCAGTGCCAGCAGAATACAGGCTAGAAGGTAGCTACTGAAAACAATTTAAAAGCACTTTTCATATTAAAAAAATGTTGAAAACATACATGGACGGAAGACACTTCAGAATCGATTACTATATTAGAACTACAACCACTAGTGAAAAAATAAACATCTCGACTTTTATAATTAGGGCTCAAACGGAGGCTTCCGTTCCCGCGCAGCCCGTGTCCGGGCCGTACCTCTATTCCTGGCCACCGGCAGCGGGCCGTGCTTCTTCAGCAGCAGGAACAGGCGCTCCCCCGACCGCAGCTTCCGCAGCTCGCCCGGCCCCGCCGCCGCCCTGAAGAACACTTTTCCCGCGACGCAGTCCACCTCCGGGGAGAACACCCGTCGGACGCGGCCGGGCGGCTCCGGGTGAGCCCCTGCCGCACCCCGCCCCAGCTCCTTAAGGGTGACGGTTCCCGGCCCGCGGTGCGGAGCCCTTCCGACCCCGACCAGCCCCGCGGCGCCCCCCGCACGGGCGGCGGCCCAGCCCCGGCCCTGCTCGCCGGGCTCCGGGGCGCGCAGCGTTCCCTGCCGAGCCGGACGGACCGCCCGGGCGGGCACCGGCACCGCCCCACTCACCGCTCACCCGGACCGGACCAGACGGGACCGCCCGGGCGGGCACCGGCACCGCCCCACTCACCGCTCACCCGGACCGGACCAGACGGGACCGCCCGGGCGGGCACCGGCTCCCCGCTCACCTCCGTGGCGCCGAGCCGCGCCTGCACCTCCCTCGCGAGGAAGGGCTCCAGCCCGCGGCCCGCCGTGCAGAAAAACCGCCCGGGCTCCGCCGGCGACATCTTGACGAGGCGGGGCCTCGCCGGGGGCGGCGCCCCGGCAGCGGATTGACAGGCCCGGGCGCCAGGAACAGGATTTAAAAGCGCCTGGGTTTTTTATTGTTTCATGTGGTTTATTACTCTATTCTATTCGATTCGATTCGATTCGATTCGCCTTCGGACACCCGACCCGTACGTGCTGTTTGTGCAGGACAAACGCATTTTCCATACGGAAATGCACAAGATACTTGTCACCAACTGTTCAGCAGGGCAGGCTCGGGCACTTGCAATGGCTTTATTCTCTCTACAATTAATCCTGTATAGTGATGACTATATCATTAATACAGATACAAACGATTATTTTATTAATACAGATACACACGATTATTTTAATTGTAAATTTAGAAGTGAAAAAAATATTTTCTGTTGCTATTCTACACATTCTATACATATACATATTCTACATTTTGGATGGAAGTTCCAGCTGTTCTTTTGGCATGATCTGCAACTTCAGAAGAAAAAGGACAGGAAAATAGATCTCTTCAGAGCTCTAAATCCACTATGTAGTAAATTACACAAGATAGATACCAGCCAGCAGAATATCGAGGATCTGAATTCAGTACAGTAGTGATTCTTCCTCCACAGATAACAAGAAAAATCTTGCAAAAAAGAAAAGCTAGGAGCTTGCATTATGTAACTAAGACAAATAGCATGTGTTACAGCCTTTTTTCCAGATGTTTGTAAACAATACATTTACGACTTTAGGCAAAGAAAGAAAAGTTCTTGAGTTGGTCCTTGCACCTTTCACACATAAACAGCATTGTAAATGTGCAAGGATGTCAGCAAACACCTGCATTTCATGCATAATAGCTTAAGCATGCATTTTGTAGAGTTTACTAAGGCTACTGTGCAAAAAAGATTCTCAGTCACTGAGTAATTCTCTAAAAATTACTAGTAACATTCCTAAAGTTTAACAGTCTCTGTGTGAGATTATTGGGAAAAAAATCATCCTTGTAGTTCACTCTCAATACTGTACACAACTCAGCACTGAAAAATGAGAGAACACTAGTAACAGCCTGCACGGCCAACAAAGTGTTGAGAAACATGAATTAATATGCATTGCGGTTTACTTCAAAATATTTAAATATTTTTAAATGGCACAAAGCTTGGTACAAGTGCATCTGACAGTGCAAACACAGGTATATGAAGCGCCAATCATTCAGGCCAGATCTATTTTTATGTATCTTGAAATCACTGCTTTCATTTGTTGTTGTCAGATAAATGCTACAGCTTGTCAAACTGTAAGAAAAATCAAAGTCAAAACAATTTTGGGGCTTTTTCAATATCAGATCACTAATTTCCCCACAATTTAGGTTTTGATCTTCCACTCCTGGAACTCCTTATATTATTTTATTTTTAAAAACACAAGCATTAATTTTCTTTTTCAAGGTTTGAGACTCGATTATAGGAGACAGTTAAAACTGTATAGTGTATATTGGAACAGTAACTATCAATGTCTGAATATTTTAACATTGTTTGAAATTTTAGTAAGACCTGTCAGGAGCATAGCTATTGCTATTCAAGGACTTAAAAACAAAACAAAGTTATAAAAGCAGTATATTTGAGGTTAGTATCCAGAGTTTTTCTGCTTATCTTGCAATACAAAATGGTATTCCTTTACACAATGGTTCCTATTTCATTGCAGATACTAAAAATATACTAAAAAGCTAGCCATTGGCATTTACCTCACTTAATCTCCTGAAAAAGGTGACAATACAGGTGACACAAAGCAGTGAAGTAAGAGCAGTATTCCAGCCTTCAAACTTATAAAGTCTAAGAAATTTCAGAGCCCTAAGATTATTTGAATAGACTGTGATGCACTGGATGCATGGATGGAGTTTATACATGCTGTTTCAAGAAGAAATTCACCTCCCCCCATTTCAGGACCATTTTTTAAACACTACCATAACAATATTAAGAGAAGAGTGAAAAACCAAAAACTTGATCAATATGCAGTTTTAGCTATCTGTACTATTTTAAATAGTCTATCCTCTTCTCACTTTCTCGTTTTCACGTGTTAACAAAACTTCAGGATTTGAAATTTCTGCATCAAACCAGACTGTCCAAACTCAGAACACATGCTGAGTGTGACAGTGTAGGCACTGAACCAAATTCAAATACTTCAATATTTGAATTATATTATTATATATATTATATTTATTATAAAATACATAATATTATATAAAATATATATTGTATATTATAATATATAATATATAATATACAATATACAATATATATATAATAGATAATATTATATTATTATATTATATATTAAGTATATTCAACACTTCAAATAATTAAAATTGCTTAATTCATTACAAAGCAAAAGCATTTTTATTCCTGTGACCTAACTCTGGTATAACACTGTGACAAGGATACATCCCGATCTCGTAACATTAATTTCTAACATCAGCGTGTTATTATTATCCAAAATTTAAATCCTGCATCCCTCACTCGTAGCTGTTGCAGATATACAGTTTCAGGTATTGCTGGTCTCCAAGGGTATCTTCTTCAAATGAAAACTTGTGGAAGTAAATACCATGCCTTCTCTCTTAGTCTTCTATGAATATTCATATTTTCACTTATGACTCCTTCAAGAAATTTGTTTCTATTGCATTTGCATCATCCTTTGCCTTTCCTACATGTTCAAGGTACGTCCAAAAGGAACACAATGTCACAACCAGACCTCAGGAGTGCTACACAGTAGAGTGCAAGGTGCCTTTTCACCCTGATCTGACAAGTCGTGAACTGCTAGACAAAAGCAGCAACTGAACCAAGACAAAAATAACATGCAGCTCAAAGAGTGGGATAGTAACGGGATTCAAATGAGAAAACACTTCTGCAGGAAATTAAGCTTTGGATCATGTTCTCTACAGTTAGATCAAAAACAGTTTCTGTGAAGAAATTCCTAGAAGTAAGGATAAATGCTGTTCATTCTTACGAAATTGAAATAGAACACCTAGCAGTTAAATTACTTGCACTGCACCTATAATCCAAATTGCCAGACAGAAGCGATCTGCAAAATAAAAGCCCTGCCTGTCTGCCAGCATAACCTGTGCTTTCTTCAGCTGACTTAGCTGACACATTATACACTTCTCTACGAAGTCAAGACAAAGCACTGAAAATACCTTAGAACTTTAGTCCCTCCCATCAGTTAGACAGAAGAACAAAGCCATGTTTCTAAGCCCCTCGTTCCTAGAACATGGCTAAGAAGGTTTCTAAAAGACTTCTGGCAGATATTTGGTTAGTTCTGTACTGCAGCAACCATAAACTCTGTAATTCTTGTTTCATATTAAATTCTTTCCAGTTGAGATTTTGGACAGATCCAATCCTCCAAGCTCCTTTCAAACAGTCCACAGAAATCAGTCTGCTCCAGTCTGTGTTTATAGTTTCTTCACAGAGAAAACAATTTGAAGCTACCCTTGTTCCTCAGAATTTCCTGGCCTCACTTTTAGTTCAGGTCCACAAAGGTAGACATTTGCAAAAACAGAGCATAGCGCTAGGACTTCCCTTTTTATTTCCAACATCACCATCAAAATGAGGCATGAGCTCTCATCTCCCTATACTTCATTCTTCAATAGAACATTTGTAAGTATCTATGCTCCAAAGTTCCTCCATTTGACTTCCTATTATCAAAAAACCCTGCAGATGGCTAGGAAGTCCTTTCAATACTACTTTTTAAAATTAGCACTTTCTACAAAAGACTTGCAGGACACTGCAGGGTTATGCAGTGGGTATAAAACTCGTGTCTGGCTCCTGTCAGGTATTTTTGCAGCCTCTGAAAACACACGCAAGTCTCAATCACAGCTGGTTTTCTTTGCTATCCCTTCATCCAAAACCAGTTGGCAGTACTACAATACTGTTTTCATGCTAAGAATATTTACTGCAATTTTTGATTAAGACTTTTTATTTTTCTGTTCTTCTCAAGGTGAAGTTGAGCTTACTTTGCAATTCACAAAATAGACTTAGAATGACACTGCATGTCCCAATTCACTCAGTAGATTAAATTAAAAATGAACTAGTCCACTTCCTACATAAATTCATTTTAAGTGTATTTTAATAAATCCATTATTTAAGTAACTTGCTCTTTCAGTCAAATAGGACAGCAGAGACTTGAACAGTCTTCTTTCTACTTTTGAGAAGTATTTTGACTGCTTTTACCTTGATTGAAAGCTTAATCTGTGTGAGTTTTGGGAATTACTAATACTAATGGAGAACAGAGCTTATAACTGGAGTCTGCAAATGCAATGTGCAACCACAAGGAACTGAAGTGTTTGGAGAAGACAGAAACACTCAAGATTCCCATGGAAAGCTTTCACCATAAATGTCTGATGTTAGACATGAAATTAGAATTTTGACAACTAGGTCCTTTGAGTTAACAGCAGTTTAATTAAAAATTAATACAATTTAGTAAATTGTATAGCAATTTGATATAAAATAATACAATTTAGTAAAATAATATAATTTAATAAAAAAATACAATTTATATATGTAATTTGCCAGTAATTAAGTATGATTAAAGCATAAGCAAAACCGACCAGGGTACGGGGAGGGCTCATCACCCCACCTCACGTACAAAACCGACCGGGGTACAGAGGGGGTTTCTCACCCTGCTTCACATACAAAACAATTCAAACTAAACTTATATACTGTATGCTTATACATATTAATTAATGTTTCCCATAAGTTTCCTCCTATTTCTGATTTTCTGACTTTATGTCACTATTCCTCACGGTGCATGCCTCACTTGGTCACTTGGTTCGGGGGTCTTCAGTCTTCTTTTGGTGGTCTTTGGACAAAGGCTTACACTCATCCTCGTTGTCCTTTGGAAAACCTCACGGGTCTGTGCGTACGTACTAAGCATTGTGCTATGTAAGTCTACTAATTAGTCTTACATTTGATGAATTTTAGGCCCTATGCCTGAAGTCGTTCTAATTTTGTCCATTTCAAGGTAGTTTTCGTCTTGGGACATCACTTGTCTTCCAAACTACATCCTGTACCTTAATTTTGACATATAACATCTGTGAAGGGGTACATCTGCCTTCTAACACTGATTCTTTTGATTGCTTCTAATAATAACTTTCCAAATAGTTAAAATTTAGTTAGCACGAAACAATTCCATTTGTAACACTGAGAATTATTAATTTAATATTTTTGTGTAGTTGTGTGTATTATTCAATAGACAAGACTCAAATCATGTAAAGTGAATGAAGAAAAGATAATGAAAGTGTAGCACCCAGCCCCTCTCCACGATTGTATTTAATAAACAGCCAACAGGTGTGAAAACATTAGATTGTATTAGATTGATTGCAGCTGTTGTCTAAATCATATTTTAATCAGATTTAAGTGCTCAAGTCACTGGTAAAACTTGGACTTGGGTAGAGATGAGAATTGAACCAGTAGTCTCAGAAGCAGCACTCCACCAACCTCACTAGCTGGGCTGCCAGACAGATGGCCTTTTCCCATCTTGGTACCCATCATGCCAACAGGCTAATGAACCACAATGAGAACAGAGGCAATTATCACAATCAAGACCTCAACTTTGGTGTATGCTGTTAAGTGTGCACACACAACTTTATGCCTCTATGAACACACTAAAGCAGATAAATATACAGATAAATGTAAAGCAGATAAACAATACAGCCTAAAGTAATTAGTGAGTCCCTTGAGGAATCCTAAATGAACATTTAAAACTAAACTGAATGCAATTTCTTAAAAAATATTTTTTTAAAATTTAATTTAAATTTAAAATTAATTAAATTTAAATTAAATTTAATTTTTTTTAAAAAGAGGCTGAGAGGAATAAGCCTCTTTGTAAGAATCAGAAATCATTATGAAATAAAGAAAACTTCCACACAAAATGAATGATGCTAGTGATGGAAGTATACATCAGCAATCCTGCATGACCAAAGACACCAGTTCACTAATAAAACTGAAGTCATATCTCAAAGTCATATAAATCCATTACACTAAATCCATATTCATAATATTCTCATTAAAAAAAAAAGAAGTCACAACAGAATATCTAATGACTGCATTCAGCTTACCAATTTTGATTTCAACCATCTATTTCAGACAAGAATTGGGCTTCAGAGATCTTCTCTACCTGCTATAAAACACAAGGAAAGAAAGCAAAACTCTTAGAGAACGTGACAAAAGTGTTAACACTCACTGAAGAGTGTTGTAGTAAGTAAATTTAATGAAGCTAAATAATATTTAGCCTCATCAGAAAAGCTGGAATTTGGGTGGGGGGAGGGAAGAAGAATCAAAATTAGGGGGGAAAAAAACCGAAAGAAGCGTAATTTAATCTCAGAATGCTTTACCTTGGAACGGACCTTAAAACTCGTCCAATCCCATCAACCTGCCATGGGAGGGACACCTTCCACTATCCCAGGCTGCTCCATCCTGGCCTTGGACACTACCAGGGATAGGGCAGCCACAGTTTCTCTGGACAACCCGTGCCAGGGCCTCTCCACCTTCACAGGGAAGAATTTCTTCCCAAGACCCCATCTAACTTTGCCCTCTGGCAGTGGGAAGCCATTCCCCCCGTGCTGTCCGTCCAGGCCCGAGTCCCAAGCCCTGCAAGGGCCCTCCCGCCCCTTCTCCTCCCGCCCCTTCTCCTCCCGCCCCTTCTCCTCCCGCCCCTTCTCCTCCCTCAGCGTTCGCGCGCCGCCCGCCCGAGGTCACGGCGCCGCCGGGCGAGCTCCGCGGGGCTGTGCGCATGCGCGGTGCGCGGGGCCGTTTCCATGGCAGCGGGAGCCCACAGGGAGGTGCCGCCATGAGCCCGCCCGAGGTGGAGCCGCTCGTGTGCCGCAAATACGAGATCAAAAGGCGCCTGGGCAAGGGGGTGAGTGCCTGGCAGGGGGTGGTCTGTGGGATCTGGGCTGGTCGTGGGACCTGGGGGGGGGCTCATGAGAGCTCGGGGGGCGCCCGTGTGAAGGTCAGGGTACCGTGACAGCTCCAGGTGATCCGGGGCAGCTGAAGGGGTGTTTGGGAGTTTAGGCGTCCGCGGAAACTCTGTCGCTCAGGGCCTGGTGGAAGCTCCAGGTGACCCAGGGGAACTCCGGAGGACTGTAAGAGGTCAAGAGTAAATAGTAAAATGGATCCGAGTCTTAAAGTACGTTCTCTCTGTGCCTGCCAAATCCTTCTACATTGACTGTAACCCCATCACTTCAAATCATACTGCATCGAGTCATATCTTCTCCATAAAATGTATTTTTATACATGAGCCAATGGTAGTTTCTAAGATATGTGTCCTCAGACAATCTCTAAACCCTCCCGAGTTATCTGCTTTTCTATTCTGGCAGCTCTTTGCTATTGTTTAGTTGCGTTGATACAAGTATTAAAGTATTCGTATTTCCCTCATTATGTTCACAGAGTCAAGGAATCACTGAGGTGGAAAAGCCCTCTGAGCCTGTGGTGTCCAACCACTCCCCCAGCTATGCCAAGGCCACCACTGATCCATGTCCCCTAGTGCCAGGTCCATGTGGCTGTTAAATCCCCCCAGCGATGGGACTCCACGCCTGCCCTGAGGCAGTCTGTGTTGCGGCTTTTTCCGGTATCCAGCCTAAACCTCCCCTGGCACAACTTGAGGCTGTTTCCCAATTGCCAGCAGGGTAGTACTGTAGCACTTATCTGATGTACAACTGTTTGAACTGCCTGATGTGTGGTAAAGGTCCTGATCCCATGCTTCAGGACTACACGTGTTACTGAGAATCCTGCCTTGATGTCCTTAGAGTCCTGGGTTGGAAGAGACTTTAAAGCCCACTCAGTCCTACCCCTTGCCATGGGCATGGACACCTTACACTAGACCTGGTTGCTCCAAGCCCTGTCCAGCCTGGCTTTGGACACTGCCTGGGATGGGGCAGGCACAGCTTCTCTGGGCAACCTGTGTCAGGGCCTCTGCACCCTCCCAGGGAAGGATTTATTCCCAAATCCCATCTAAACCCTGCCTTCTGGCAGTGGGATGCTCTTCCAACTTGTGTTGTCAGTCCAAGCCCTTGTCCAAAGATCCTCTTGAGTTCTCTTGGAGCCCTTTCAGGCACTGAAAGGAGCTCTAAAATCTCCCTGCAGCCTTTTCTGCTCCAGGCTGAGCACCCCCAACTCTCTCAGTCTGTCTCCTGAGTGGAGTAGCTCCTTGGCCTAATCTCTCTTTCTTCCATGTACCTTCCATCACCTCTGCTTCCAGTCCATCATTGAACACATTCTGGTTCCTCTGCAGGCCTGAGCTGTGTGCAGGTGCCAGCACACTGCTCACCTGTCCGTGCTTCTTTGCAGGCCTATGGCATCGTCTGGAAAGCTATTGACCGCAAGACAGGAGAAACAGTTGCTGTTAAAAAGATTTTTGATGCTTTCAGGAACAGAACAGATGCTCAGGTGAGAAATTATTGTCCTGATGTGTTCTGAGACATGGTGGGATTCCATAGGTATTTTCAGGATTTTTGTCTCTGAAAGATGATAATTATGTATGTAACAATACAGTCTGCAGCTATATTGGGATAAAAATAAGCAATAAATAGCAAGCTCCGTGTATCATGGCATGTACAAAAGAGGAGTGGATTTAACCCTGTCATTGAACTGCATCTCTGTTCTGCCGTTCTCTTGAGGTGATAATAAACTGTTATTTCTTTATTTCTAGAGAACATTTCGAGAGATTATGTTCCTGCAGGTAATGTTGACATTCCTCCTCTTCTCTGATTTTTTATCATCTCTCTGATGTCTAAGTATTTTTCTCCTGTTGTTTTCCAAAATGCAGCAGTCATTGATTAGTGTTGAAAACTCTTCAATTTCTTTTCTGCACCATCTTGGCAAAGAGCCTTTCAGGGTGAACCCACCTGAATGAAACACTCTCCATTTGGGCTTGTTTTTAGTTTCTCCATTTTTAGCAATGTGTCTGCTGCAGCATCAGCACATCAGCATCTCCTGTCACTTCTTGCTTCTTTGTGGATAGAAATTGTTTCTCTTACATTTTAACTGCCATGTTTGGAGAAGGGGCTGGGGTGGGAGAGGGATTTACACTCCAAAATTGTTTTCCTCCATTATGCTGTAAACAATTTAAATAATTTAAAATAATCGAACCAAAAGAAAAAGGGAAGTTCTGCAAGGAATAACTTAAGACTACTCTTGTTTTGATATAATTGACCTTATCAGTGGCACTCCAGTTATCTGTCAACTCCTCCTCAGTAACATGTAGAAACATCAATATTTTGGAATAATGTTGTTATAACTTGTGATTTTCTAAGGACACAAGTGAGGCAGGGCTCAAAGAAGAGGTGTTTCCCATGACTGCCAAGTTTAAGTAGGAAAGAGATTACTTTTTTTCACTTTTTAGACAATCTTGAAGCCTGAAATAGAAGCTACAAATTTCAAAGCTAGAAACAGAAACAATTAGTTAGAAGTGAATTACCTGTAAGTTAGATCATCTCTGAAAGTGCAGTACTCCTGGAATGGATGGATGGAGAAGGAGCAGGGGAAAAAAGGATATTTCTTCTGAAGGAAAGAAGGAGTCCCTTGGTAGCAGAGGGCAGGGAGAGGGAGGTTAATGTGCTGTTCAGCCTGTACTTCTATAAATTTTGGTGCTCAATAGACTTCAAGATTTTTAGTTTCCCCTCCTTTTTTAAGCCTCTTTCTTGAGGTTCAAGACTGAGGGCTCAGAAAGGAAAAGATGTGAAAAATACTCTGTTATTCATAACTGCATGTTTATCTTAATTTATTTGTCTGTGCATAATAGTTGCTTTGTTCAATCTTGATGTTTATCACAAGGTCATTTGATGGACTAGGTTATTATTTTATGTTATGTATCTCAATTATTCTAATTGAGAAGTTGCTGTAGAATCTGGGGTGTGAATGAATCTCTGATGCTCTGGTCGTTGCTTGTAGGTTTTGTGTTTGCTGTTCAGTGTAGTGTAGATCTACAGGTGCATTTTAGGCTAATTTTAGAATGTCATTTTGCTAAGTATGTTAGTAGCATTATTATTCATTAAGCAAAGATTAATGGAACTGGCCCTGACAAGGTTTTTTTCAAGGTAACTTATTTTTTTTAATGCAGATTGAAATTTTTTTCATGACTTTCTGTCATCAGTTCCAGGGCAAGGCAGGGTGAGACAGTGGAATTCTCCTTCTTAAATGGCAGTCAAGTAATACTGTCAAGATTTAGCTGCATCTCTAGAGCAATGCCCCCTTTTGGGTAAAAACCTTTTATAGATCATTTGGATGGGTACTGTGACTGTTCCCAGAATAAAAACAAAGTGTGTGACGGCCTGGCTGTGTATCACTGCTTTGTGAGTGTGTTGTCACAGGTTGCTGCAGGTGAATGTATTGTTTTGTGAACTTTCCTAGATGTTGCACATTATAAAATGTTGGAATATTATGAAGTGTTTACTGTGTCCATGGCTGCACAGAAGTGGGAAATAAAAGCTGTTAAAGCTGGGGATGAACTTAATGATCCCATGAAGATTACCAGTCTGCAAAAAATGTGAGGATGGACTTCACCTGCAGTGTGATACCTGCGTTCAGGTATCTCTGTGCGCTGTCTGATCTCCATGCAGTCAGTTCCTCAGTGCTGCAGCCTGTGAGTGTCTTGAGCCAGCTCTCAGACTGACATGTTCTGTCTGATTGGTTGGGTTTTTAACTATGAATGCTGATGGCAACTGATCTATTTTCATGCCACCAATAATTCTTTGATTCAGCAGCAACAGTGAAGTGCATAAAGGGGACTGGATTTTATTATAAACGGTATAGAGGGAGTGTTAGAATTAATGTCTCATTCAACAGAGATTTTTTTTAATTGACTGGTTTCCTACTACGGAACAAACTTAAATCCTTCTTTTAAGTTTATTTCTGAAGAAGCCTAATGAAGGAAATAGCCTGTTAGTGTTTGTTCTAGACAGTAATACAAACTGAAATAGGTTATTGTCCCTTTTTATGATTCACAAGCAAAACACATGATTTTGACAGCTATGTCTCTTCCCTGTGCAGGAATTTGGAGAACATCCAAATATCATCAAGCTGCTCGATGTTATCCAAGCAGAGAATGACAAAGACATCTATCTCATCTTTGAGTCCATGGGTGAGACTCAGCATTGCAGCAACCGTTCAAACCCAGCCTCTCTTAGGAGTTATTCTTGCTATGACTTTGATAGTGGTATGGTGGTGATTACACATGAATGTTTATGATACTACTGATATTTACTGATGAAAATATACTATTGGTATATTACAGAGACAGATTTACATGCCGTGATTAAGAAGGGGAATTTGCTGAAAGACATCCACAAGTGTTACATTCTCTACCAACTCCTGAAGGCAACTAAATTCATCCACTCAGGGAATGTTATTCACAGGGATCAGAAGGTACATTTCGGTCATAGTCTGTATCCTTCACTCCAGTTTTCTGTTGAACACTAAATAAAATCACAGATTGATTTCAGATGGAAGGTACCTTCAAAGTCCATCCGTTCCCACCCCCTGCCATGAACAGGGACATCTTCCACTATCCCAGGTTCCTCCAAGCCCTGTCCAACCAGGACTGGAAAGCTTTGAGGGATGGGGCAGCCACAGCTTCTCTGGGCAGCCTGTGCCAGGACCTCCCCACCCTCCCAAGGAAGAATTCCTTCCCAATATCCCATCTAACCCTGTCGTCTGGCAGTGGGAAGCCATTCTGGCTTGTGCTGTCCAGGCCTGTGTTCACAGTTCCTCCTGAGCTCTCTTGGCACCCCTTTAGAGCCCTGGAAAGGGCTCTAAGATCTCCCCTGGAGCCTTTTCTCCAGGGTGAATATCCCCAGCTGTCCCAGCCTGTCTCCACAGGAAAAGTATGCAGAAGTATACAAGCATGAGACTAGGAAAAGAATCTTGATAATAATCTGCTATTCAGAGAGTAAAAGGCTAATTAATTCTGCTGTGTTCAATCCAGCCTTCCAATGTCCTGCTGGATGCACAGTGCTGTGTGAAGCTGTGTGACTTTGGCCTGGCCCGTTCCCTGTGCCAGCTGAGCGAGGACCAGCCCAGCCTTGCACTCACCGAGTACGTGGCCACGCGCTGGTACCGAGCCCCTGAGATCCTGCTGGCCTCTCGCAAGTGAGTGAAGGGGTTCGAGCCTGGCACTTCACCACTTGCAAATTTTTTTGTCTAAAAGTCTTCAGTCTTTTAATTTTCAGTGTCACCATATGCAGTGTCATGTCAGCAGTCTGTTTTCTCAGTATACGATTAAACTTCTGTGGCAGAAAAACCTCTTATGAATGTGTACATGTTCTTCCTGTGTTCTTAGAGTGTCAGTGTACATCCTTGAGCAGCTCATCTGTTTGTCCTCCTTTCTCCCACCAAACTTCTTTCTTCTCCCTTAAAACCCACAACTTTACAAAATCTGCTTGAGAACATAGTCCTCTTTTCCAAATTAAAGCAGTGTTTTTTGATAGACCTTCATGAAATATTCCCTAATCAAATGTTAAACCAGCTGCCTGTTAGTCAGGCTTAGTCCTTTTTTTCAATTAAATATGAAAACCAGAAACATAAATAAATAGATGAAGGATAGTATCCCAATATGGATGGGATTTAAATGTGGATGTTTTGCAAACTGTCCTATACCCACTGTTTGGTATTTGCTTTGCTTAAAAATGTAATTCTTAATGAATTGTAACTACTTTGTATATGCATTATGACCAAAGTAAGAGCAATGTGTATCTTCATCCTTGGTCATATGAAAAGGATATAATATCTTGTTCTGGCATTACCTTTAATAATGCCAGACCTTGTTCTGGCATTTCTCTATAATATATTTTCTTTTATGATTTCTTAGACTAGACTTTGAGTAGGATAAATCTTTCTGTTTCATGCTTGCCAGACTCATGATTCCCAAATGCTATTCAATTTATAGTTCAAACCCGTGAGCATTTATATGTAAGAAATCACCAGGTGAGCTTTCTAGCAAATAAATCAATGTAGGTGATGTGAGTACCAGGTACAGGAAAATATTTGCATGATTTAAACCTACCTCTGTTCTATTCCTGTTCGTAGTTACACTAAGGGTGTAGACATGTGGAGCATTGGCTGTATTCTCGGAGAGATGCTGCTTGGAAAGCCACTTTTTCCTGGAACATCAACAATGAATCAAATAGAGCAGATCCTGAGGGTCATCCCTGCTCCATCCCCAGAAGGTAGGACTCTGCTGCGGGGAAAGGTATCTAGAGAAGGGGTTAAGAACGGAAGAAAGCAGCCTGGCTGGGTCAAGGAAGACGGTATCTCTCATTACAGAAATTAAATTCTTCATCTTGAATGTTAGTGTTAGAGGAAAATAAGAAATTCAGATATTGTGGTGCTTCTGCATCTGTTACTATGAGAATGCAAGTTTATGAAGTGTATGATGAATAAATAGGAATTCAAAAATCAGCTTTGAAAATTCGTTAGTAAATATTCCATCCCACTTCCACAGATCTCCGACTAGTTTCATGAGGATAATTTCCTATGTTAATATCAAATATTGGCTTTCTGTCATAAACTGTGTAGCTCTGCCAATCCTCATCTTGGCAGTGACGGTGTCTTTTTATTATTGCAGATATTTTGGCTCTGCAGTCAGAGTACAAGGCCTCAGTTATTAGCCACATGAGTTCCCGGTAAGCTTGAGGTGTTCCTGTGTCTCAGATCATCTAATGTAGGACCATGGAGTCATGGAACAATCAGAAGTTTGAGTGGGAAGGGACCTTAAAAAAATCATCTCATTCCGCCCCCCTGACATGGACAGGGATACCTTTCACTAGACCAGGTTGCTCCAAGCCCCATCCCCCCTGGCCTTCCAGGGATGGGGCAGTCACAGCTTCTCCAGGAAATCATTCCACTCCCTCAGGACCCTCACAAGCAATAATTTCTTCCCAATACCCCATCTAACCCTGCCCTCTGGCAGTGGGAAACCCTTTCCACTCGTGCTGTCACTCCAGGCCTTTGTCCAGGGTCCCTCTCCAGCTGCCTTTGAGCCTCTTACTGGAAGGGGCTTTAAGTTGTCTCCTTAAATAAAAATTATTTACAAGATGAGTAAGATTTGGTGCTTAAAACTGATTTTTTGGAAGATACTTTCTTCTTTATTATGTTCACAATTATATTTGGGATTTCAAAATGCAAAACCAGATTTTTAAATTTTATCTTCTCTGTAAATTACAGAGAAGTATGTTTCTGTAATCTCAGGTCTAGATTTGTGGGATCATGGGGCTGGAAAGTGGTGAGCTTTAAGGTCCCTTCCCAGCCAAACCATTCTAGGATTCAGGGATTATTACACACTGTGGGTGAAGTTGTGTCTGGTGTCACCTTGATGTGATCCTGGAACTGTCACTCCTGCCCTCACTGGGAATTAGACACTGAGAGCTTGTATCACTTTTTTCCTGACTTCTAGGCAGCGAGTAGCATTTGAGGAGATTTTCCCATCCTCTACTCCATTGCCTGCCTTGGATTTGCTGAAGAAACTTCTGGTATTTAACCCCAACAAACGGCTCACAGCAGAGGAGGCTCTGCAGCATCCTTACGTGAGAAGGTGAGACTGACACCAGTATGCAGCTTCCCCTGATACATTCTGATACATTACAAACCTGACCTTGGCACAAATTTTCTTTAGATGCATTACAAAAAAAATGGCAAAGCTAATTCTTTATCTTCTCCAACCCTATTTACATTAAACAATGAGATAGTTTAACAATCCTGTTTAAATTTTAATATCCAGTCAGTGAATTACATGATGTGTTCTCATTTTCTCAGATTCCACTGTCCTTCCAGGGAGCCCTCTTTGGATTTTGATGTGATCCTTCCTTTGGGTGATGATGTCCAACTGTCTGTGGCCGAATATAGAAATAAATTATATGAGGTACTTCCATCCTATTTTCCCAAATCCTAATCCTCCAGGTAACCTGCCATTCTTGCACACACTTAAAAAATTCTGTCATTTTCTTGTCTTTGTGTTCCCCCGGGCTTTCTGTACCTGCTGGCACAGTTACACCTTGGTGTTTGATCAGCCAGTTCCAGTTCAGTCATAATCTTTGAGAGACCTTTACATGTCAAATTCCCACAGGGCAAAGAAAAATCTCTGAAACATGATGTCTGAAAAAGATTCATAGAATGGTTTGGGTTGAAAGGTACTTTAAAGATCACCTAGTTCCAAAATGGTTTCTTACCCTGTAAAATAAATTGCAGATCTTTATAAGTATTCCTCTTTATTTTGATGTTTTATTTTTCTGCTGTATTTCTGTATCAAGTCTAACCAGCTTTTCTGTTCTGCAGATGATCCTTGAAAATAAGTCAAAGAGCCTTCCAAAGGAGCAAGGGTGGAGAGAAAACATTCAGCTGAGACAGTCTGAATCTAGCACACTCCTCCCAGGTTTCAGCTCGGTGACTGTACCCATCAGGAAAGGCCAGCAAGAACCAACACCCCCTCTTCTAAACCCTTCACATGTGCACACTGGAGCCACAGCTGGGGACCAGCCAAAAGGATCTAGCCAGAGCAAGGATTTGGCCAGAACTGTATGTCAGAGATCACAGATTAGTGTGATGATGTACAACCCCATCACACACACCACTGTGCAGAGTAGGTACCACCCTCCTACACTGGGGTGTAACCCACCTAGTGTGGGGAAGAGAGAATGAGTGCTATAAAAGAAATTAAGGGAATTTTAATTGTAAAATGAGGGGCTGAAAGTGTGGGAGGGAAATTACATAAGAACAAAACATTGTTGAATGAGTGTTGAATATGGGACTGTCCCTTCCTCAGTCAATGTGTTCTGTGTTCTTCTGATTTTCCTACTTTCTCTCATGTTATTCCTTCTGCAGGAAATGCAAATCCTGGTGTTGGGATCAGGAACTGTTCTGCACCACCTCAACAGTCCAGAATCTCCAACAATGAAAAACTAGGGAGACAAACCACATGGATAAACACTCAGCTCTCTCCTACAAGTGTGCAGAACCTTTACAATGTGAGTAGCTTAACTTCTAGTCCTTACTTGTGGTAACCTGGGTCTCAGCAACTCCATATAGTGCTCCAGGCAGAGTGGCTGGAAAGCTGGAAAAGGTCGCCTGCTGGTGCTGATGACAGTAGCTTGAACATGAGACCGGGTGTGCCCAGGTGGGCAAGAGGCCAACGACACTTGGTTTGTACCAGCCACAGTGTGGCCAGATGCCCAGGGCAGTGCCTGTCCCCTGTGCTGGACACTGCTGAGGGACCTCCAGTCCTGGGGACAAGTTTGGGCTCTTCACAACAAGAAAGGAGGGGCCCCATTGAGGGGTTGGAGTGTGTCCAGAGGATGGAACAGAGTCTGGAGCAGCAGCAGTAGCTGTGGAGAAAAGGAGGCTCAGGGAGGACTTTCTCACTCTCTGCAACTCCCTGACAGGAGGGTGCAGCCAGGTGGGGGTCAGGATCTGCTCTCAGGAAGCAAGTGACAGGATGAGAGGAAATGGCCTCAAGTGGGTTCCAGAAGAGGTTTGGGTTGGATATTGGAAAAAACCCCAGATGCAAAGGGCTGTGCATCTGTGACACAGACTGCTTCAGGGCAGTGGTGGAGTCCCCATCCCTGGGGAGACTTAATGGCCACGTGGATGTGGCACTAGGGGACATGGATTACCGGTGGCCTTGGCAGTGTTGGGGGAGCGGTTGGACTCAGTGGGCTTAGAGGGCTTTTCCAACCTCAGTGATTCTGTGGTTTTATGATTCTGTGGTTCTGATGGATTGCTGTTGCTGAGCTGTGAGGGTGTCAGTCTTCCCTGATCTTGGCCATGCTTTCTTGCTAAAGTCATCACCCTCACTGGGTTCTTTAATGACCTCTTGCTCCTGCTTTTTTTCTTCCTGAGCTGGCTGTCTGCTGCTTGGTGACTGCTGGTGCCTGCAGTGGTGATCGGAGGAAGCTTATGACAGAGGAAGAGTATGGAAGGAGGCACCACAGATTCACAGAATCACAGACTGCTTGGGTTGGAAGGGACCAAAAAGCTCACCTTGTTCCACCCCTCTCCCGTGGTCAGGAACACCTTCCACTAGCTCAGGTTGTCAGAAACTTTCAAGCATGTCCATTAGCACTCTTGCAACCCCCCTCTCTGATTTGGAATCCGTTCCAAAATGTTTTGAGAGAAAATTCCCCCAGATGGGACTTGCTGCACATGCAGGTGTACACATGACCAGTGCATTTGGAAGAATCTTTAGGGAATTGTGAACAACTTTCTGTGACTAGAAGAGCAGAAGAGGGAGAAGATCATCCTACATGTGCCCTGAGTTTGTGTTTGTCTCCTGAGAGGATAGTGCTGACCAAAGCCAAACCTGTGTCCTGTTTGCATTCCAGAAAGCTGATTCCAGGTTGTTAACTTTTCTTGGCTTTTCTTTCTCACACAGAATCCTAGAAACTCTCAGTGTCACAGTAAAGATGTTCGTCCCCTTCTGAAGCCCAGTAAAAAGATGTTCCAGATCACTGCAAACGTGGGAGCTGTGGGTGATCCAAAGGCATCCATGGGCAGCTATTCCCAAGCTTATGGAACCATCAGTAAATCTGCACTGCAGAGTCTTCCAATAGCAAAGGCCTCCAAAAATCCTGAGCAGTGACTGTGGAGATGTTCCAGACAGGTGAAGTACAGCTCATCCTTCAGCCCCTGACTAAGCAAGGGCAGCAGGGGAGAGCAAAATATGAGGAAATGCTTTATTCATTGCTTAGGACAACATCCTTCTTTCCTCTGGACAAGCTAATAGGAAAGGGAATCCAACCCCTCTGGCTTCAGTCTCAGCAGTCAAGGACACAGTGTGTTTGCTCTTACACCCCGAGAACAGTGAATGCTGTCGGTTCATATTCCTCGTTTGAATGACTGCAAAAAATCAGAGGAAACTGCATTATTTTGATACTTGAGTGGTTTTTAGACATAGTCAGGTTCCAGGGGAGCCTCCTAAAGTTCAACAAAGCCAAGTGCAAGGCCAAGAAAATGCTCTGAGGGCTGGAGCCCCTCTGCTCTGGAGATAGGCTGGGAGAACTGGAGGTGTCCAGCCTGCAGGAAAGGTGGCTCTGGGAAGACTTTTGAGCCCCTTCTGGGCCTCTAAAAAAAACCAAACAACCTCTTTAGGAGAGCTGGGGAGGCAGTTTGGACACAGGCCTGGAGTGACAGGACAAGGGGGAATGGCTTCCACTGCCAGAGGGCAGGGTTAGGTGGGATCTTGGGAAAGAATCCTTCCCTGTCAGGGGGGGAGGCCCTGGGACAGGTTGCCCATAGAAGCTGTGGCTGCCCCATCCTTTGAAGTGTTCAAGGTTGGACAGGGCTTGGAGCAGCCTGGGATAGTGGAAGGTGTCCCTGCCATGGCAGGCAGGGGTTGGGACTGGGTGACCTTTAAAAGGTCCCTTCCAGCCCATCCAGGGATTCTTCAGCAGTCTGCCTAAACAGTGGGGATTTTTTTGAGTAGAACAGGTAATTGTTCTCTGAAGACCTAACTCTTCACAGGTAATCTTACAACCCTTCACTCATTTCTATGACTGTTCTAGGCTAGATGAACAGAGTTCATTATGGTCTGGTTTTGTTAAAATCAAGTAGAAAAGCATTTGAAATACAGATGGGTTCTTCTACAATATTTAATTTTATTAGCTTCTCTTGTGTGTAATATTGTAATAATAAATTCTTTATATGGCACTGCATAAAATCTTGTCTTTCAAAGCAGCATTTGCTGTGTTGAGAAGGAAATTGCCTATTGGTAGGCAGTCTTCTTCAGTGAATTGGTCATTTCTATTGTTTTTGCTTTAAGAAAGCAAAATTTCATGAGATGCTATTGCTGTGACATTGTAAAGGTGTTTCCAGTCTACACTGGGACTACAGGAAACTTCATATTCCTGTTTCAATGATTTTTGGCTACATTTTCCTCATTAACTTGGAGGTCTTGTCTCTGTCCCTGAGGTTTTACTCTGCCTGTGAAGAATGGTTGTTATCCCCCCCCAGCTCTCTCAGCTGCTCACGCTGCTCCAGATCTGTCACTTCATGAACTGCAGTTACACCGTCAAGGAAGTCACGACTTGGCCAAGGCAGGATTTTACTTTAGATGCTTATTTAAACTCAGACTCACCTGAAAAAGCCTCCTAAAACCAAGCTCTTCTCCATCACAAGCACCTCAGCAGGTTCTTTCAGCTCAGCCCCTAAAATAAGTAATTCCCTATACACAAAGAAACAAACCACAAGCAAACCAGCCCCGCAGGCTCAGGAATTGGAAAATACAAAAAAGCTGGGCCTGTGCTGCTGGGGAAGATCAGAACCACAGACTAGGCCAAAACATTGATTACGACTATTTTTTATTTTTGGATGTAAACCTTCTAAAAGGTGCCTCCTGTGTCTGACTCATTGTGAGATACAGAAAAAGAGTAACTTCACCTGAGAAACCACTGAGGTTTAAATACTTTTTCCAGTTAATACCTGTGTGTCTGTATGCATTTATCTTTTCTGGCCCAAAATCAAGTACTGAATTTTCTATTCTTTTTTTTTTTTCTTTTTTGAATGGTTTTGTCTGCTGAAAATATTCCTTGGGTTTAATAGAGACTATCACTTAGTTTTGTACGGTAACAGACTTGTTTTTTAAGCATGTTGGCATTTTAATTGTTTTATTTGGAACATATTGTGATAAGGTTGTTTGATACCACCTGACTTTATTGAGCAAACTGTGCCATGGGAGGCTCATGCTGGATACATTTCTGCTCACTAACCAAGAAGAGTATTGCCACTGGGGTTTGTAGCCATCATAGACAAGTTTCTTCCTTGTTTCCACGTGACAGTCAGTGATTAAATGGAATTAAATAGGATTTCTAGGATCATTTTTTGGTCTTGAAGGTCCCCAGGATCTTGGGCATGAATTTTCCCATTTTCTTGTCTTTGGCATCTGTGTCATACTCCTCTTCACTGGGACTCGTGTGTTCATCCTTCTTGCAGAACACCTCAAACCTGCTGTAGACTCGCTTCTCCTTACGCATGTTCTCCATTTTTTTCAGGAGGGTGTCTCTATCCTCTGATGGCTGCCTCTGGAGGTTCCGTTTCTGGCTCCCAAAGCTCTCAGACCTGTGGATGTTGCAGCTTTTCTCCTTTTCCCCTTTTCTTTCCAAGCTTGTGGTCGACCTGGAGAGGTCAGGGTTGCTGGTGGATGGCAGCTGCTTGGCCAGCTCGGCTCTGTTCTTCTGGCTGTTGGCAGAGATCTGCTCCAGGATCACCTTGGTGTCGTCACGCAAGTTGCTGCTGTACAGGATGTTGGCTGTGGAGGAAGGAAACCTCCCTTGTGTTGTCTGGCTGCTCTTGGGAGGGACAGGTGCTGTGAATTTGTGGGTTTTTTCTTCTTCCATTGCTTCCTGGCCATCCGCTATCGATGATCGTTTGAGAACCACTGCCTGCTTGTCACATTTCCCACTCTCAGAACCAGGTTCCTCCTCCAATTTCTTTTCACCTTTTGGGTTCAAAAGCTGCTTCAGCCGTAGGGACCCTTTTCTTAGAAACTCCATGGGGTTCTGCTCTTGTTTTGAACAGTCTTCCTCAGATTTGTTGAGAGAGCTGTCAGACCCTTGACTTCTAGACAGGCTTTCTAGAACTGAGGATGCAGTACTTGCCCTAACCTGTGGTTTCTTCATTTCTGTGTTGACTAATTTTGGAGAGTCTTCTCTGAAGGTCACTCTGTCCTTCTTCTCTGGAAGAGCCAATTTCTGAGTGTCTCCTACAAATATCAGGCTCTCCTTCTCTGGAAGAGGAGGTTTGTTCTCAATGGGGTAAAATCGGGATGACAGCTTGTCCACCTTAGTGCCAAGATGTGCCAGGGGATCTTTACTCAACACATCCCCAAGCTGGGGGGTGGATGAGGCCATTCCAAATGCTCTGTCCAACTCTCCATGCATTTTGTAAGTACTGCAGGAGTCTTTGGAGTCCAGCACCCTGCTCTCCAGAATCTTATACTGCACAGATTTGGTACATTTCTTCTCTGTGTTCTGTGATTCCTCCTGTAGGTAACCTGAAACAGCTTTGGTGTGGGTGACTGTGCCCCGTTCCATGTCCTTGCCCACAGCTTTGTACTTCTCCAGCAGCTCAGCCACTTTGGAGGAGGCAGCTGTCTTGACCGTTTCATTGTCCTTTGTTAACTCACTGGACATTTGCTCTTTTTGGATCATCTGCACCTTTTCTATTGTGGTGTTGGGTTGATCTAATTTGGCAGCACTGAAAATCAGAGAGGACCTGAGCCTGGAGCTCCTCTGGATCAAGGGATTTATCCTGGACCTGAAGGCATCTGGTTTCATTATAGAGGTTTCTTCACCTGCTCTATCAGGATCTGCAGATTCTTTGGCACTGTCAATTCCCAGTGGCTTGCTATTGAAAGGCATGGAGGGTTTGAAGGCTGGGACGAGGTCGGTGGGGTGCTTTGTGAGGGGATCCCCAAGAGCATCGTTATATGCCTCGGACTCCATCGGCATTGGGAGCCCTTCATCTGGTTCAGACTGGTATGCACTGAGGTACGAAGAAATCCTCCAGTTCCGTAACCCTGTTCTGTTTTCCTGCGTGCTCTTGTCATCATCCTGGTCTTCATCCTTGTCCTGTAGGAACAGGCGCTGCTCCAGGCTCTGCTTCTGCGTGGGAGAAGTCTGGCAAATGAATTTCTGTCCTATATTCTGCCTCCGTAGCATCATTCCCATGGGGCCATTGCCCGCAGGGTTCAGCTGGTCAGAGCTGTGTCTCACCTCCCTGGAAGAATTTGAGGGCACGTAATCCAGCCGTAAGGGGAAACCCTCTTGTGGGAAACTGGGCTCCAGTTCAGGGTATCGGGGTCCCTCTCCATAGTCTTCCAGTTCATTGAATCCTGGCCTCCCGCCTCGAATCCTCTCAAAGAATCCCTGAGGTCTGCCAGAAAGATGGGGATGTTCAAACTGGTACTGGTAGAACTGGTCCTTCTGGAAATGACTGGATTGGATTTTGAACTCGTCCATGTTGTTCATGAACATCTGCCGGGTGTACTGTTTGGCAGAAGCAAAATTTTCAAACGTTCCTTCTGCAAAACTGTGTCTCTTAAAAGCGTCCAGCTCCAGCTGCTTGGAACGGAGGAAACCCCTGACTGGATCCATCTGGGAATTCTCCATTTCCACCTTTTTATACATCCGCATGGCTGATCCCTCCACAGTGTGCCGCAGCATGTCATCCCGTCGAAAATTGGAGAGGAAGTACCTGTCCGGATCCACTCTGTCCATGAAGGAGGGGAAGAGACTCTCATCCCTCTGGAACATCAGGGGGCCTTTTTTGGGAAAGAAAGGCATGTTATTGCCAAAGGGAGCCATGGCGAACGAATTTTCTGCCTTTGCCAAGACATTGGCTGGAGGAACGAGAGGTTCCGACTGTGCAAACAAAATGCGGAATTCTTCATCAAAGCTGGCCACCAGCTCACCCTGGAAGATGTGTGCAATACTCCTGTGAATCTTCTCAAAGGACCACATGAAACTGTAGAGAGAACAGAAGTGATGGAGGGTGTTACCACTGAGTAACTCAGCTGTACTGGTTTTCATTAAAACATTTGCTCACCTGAAGCAAATTCTACATTTTCTGTTTGGGCAGAAATAGGGCAAAATAACAGTAGAAATTTCCCCTGCAGCTACTTGTTACACATGACTGGTCCCAAATCTAGTAGCTTGATTGATATGGGATCACATCTTTGCAGAGAATTTTACAAGGCAATAAATGATTTCTGTTCTAAAAAGCCAGTCAATTGTGTCACTCAGAGTGTGAGCTGATGATAATCCCTATGTGATGTTCCTGTCTTTAACACTGTCAGTAATGACCTGAATGACAGTCAGTGTGTACCCTCAGCACCTGGCAGGTGACCCCAGTCAGGGGGACCCCAAAGGCTGGGGAGCTGTGCCGACATGAACATCTGAAAAGACAAACCCAAGATCTTACTCCTGGGGTGGCACAACCCTTCCACCCACACAGTTTGAGGGGGACTGAACAGAAGGAACTGGGCTGGAGATGAGGGAGGAAGATGTTCAGTGTTCTGGCATTCATCTTCCCAAGTCAAGCTCTGCATCATTTTTCCCTATCTGGAAATTCCCCTAATGGGAAGCAGAGAACAGACCCCTTATTTTGTCTCGTCTGTGTGCGCAGGTTTGCTGTAGCTGTTAAAACTGTATCACAACCCAGAAATGTTCTCACCTTTACAGTTCTTCACCACATCCTGCTGGGAATCATGAGGGACCATTTGTGTCCCACCTTGGCTGCCTGCTGGGCTTAACCAAAACCCTTAGAACTACTGTCTTTTTTTTATTTCCCACAGGTTTTTTAATTCTTAATGTGAAGGAAGCTTGGTTTGGGGTTGTCTGGGCTCAAGGACTTCTTTAGTTGGTGCATCTACCTCCACTGCAAATTGGAGTACTTTTCCCAAAAAACTGCTGCTCAGTGTTCTTCAGTGAGCAAAACTTTTGTCCCTCATATCCATGTGGAAGTGCCAGAATGCTGCTTTACCAATTCACTAGCCTGTCTCTCAGAATCCCAGACTGGTTTGAGTTGGAAGGGACCATCACACTTTGTTTCACCCCCCTGCCATGCACAGGGACACCTTCCACTAGCCCAGGTTGCTCCAAGCTTTGTTGACTATCATCTTGAACACTTCTACAACTTCCCACTTCAGAAATGACACAATATTTGAAAGCCCAGAGCACATGGGAGTGTGGCAGAAGTAGTCCTGAACAATTACCTTGATGCTCTTATAAACAACAAATGATCCAATCAGAACAGTTAGTTGTTTGGTACAGCATCAAATGTAATTCTTTTCAAACATCAGGGAAAAAAGCCAAAGTGGAATCTTATTATCAAGGAATATGCACTTTAATCAGATTCTTATATTTTTTCCTTCATATGCTGTGTTTTAAAATACCCTTAATTCTATTTGCTTATCTTCCACCAAAAGAGGTAGGCTTTAAGCAACCTGGCCTAGAAGGTCTTCCTGCCAACAGCATGGGGAGAAGCCCTATGAGCTTTAGGGTCTATCTAACCCAAACCATTTTGTGACTCTATTATTACATTCTTAGAGCATGACAGGTGTTTATCCCATCACGCTTTCAATATGTGAAGGAGAAATTCTTCTACTGCAAATCTCTAAAAACATTTATTCTTCCAAAAATGAACGCCTTAGCTGGTAAGATTGTTGTTCCCAAAAGGATGGTAATGGCTGATCTCAATCCTAACTAAAACCACCCATCACTAAAACCATCCACCTCTCTGTTGTCCAGAGAAGCTGGCCCGTCCCTGCAAGTATCCAAGGCCAGATGGGATGAGGCTTGGAGAAATCTGGTCTAGTGGAAGGTGTCCCTGCCCATGTGGGGCTGTTGGGGTGGAACAGTATGAGCTTTCAGGTCCCTTCCCACACAAACCATGCTGTGACTTGATGATTCTGTGTGTGGAGGTCAAAATTCATTTGATCCAGACTAAGATGCAAATCTTACATTCCTTACTCTATGGCAAATTCTCCCTGGAATGGATCAGATGGGAGCTGAGCTCCTCTGCAGACAGCCCCTTGCACAAAGTACCTGAGTGTCTCTTTCTCTGAACTGGACAGGGCTCCTCACCTGTAGTTGCCGCTCAGCACCACCATGCAGTCCACCAGCAGGAACTTCTCCTTCAGGTGCCCCTTGAAGGACATCCCCGTGCGGCAGTAGTAGGTCGGGCCAGACACTGTCCTCACCCTCAGGAACTGCAAACCAGAAAGGCACTGACTCAGATGGGACCCTCATTCCCTCCTGTGACCCTCCTTCCCTGTATCCTTTTAACCTCCATCCTGCCACTGGGATTATTCTCTAGCTCCAGTGGTTCTGCCTGCAGACACACCGATGTACAAAACCTTTTCTCAACATGTCTTCAGCCTTCACCTCATGTCATGCCAGCTCTCCTCACTTTCTTCATACTCATCTTTCACCAGGCTACGGCTTGTAGCCTGCCCATTCTCCCCTTTCTCAGGTGTTTCCTGCCATACTGGCCCTCTGTGTTGCAGGACACACCCCCTTAGGACACAAATCAGGTAGGACAGGTCTTGGCTCACCTCCACATAGTTCAGGTTGACTCTGCACTTAGCAGCTGTGTCAAGGAAAAGCTGGGAGTTCATTTCATCCAGCAGGATGTAGACAGGCACTCGGCGAGAAGCAGCATCCAGCACCTCAAAGAGCAGATCCACATCCGTGAAAATGTCCATCACAATGGCCACCACCTGGGGAAGGGATGCAGGGACACGTCAGCCACCCATGCTGGCTCATGCCCTGACCAACCATGTATCCCAGCTTCTCACACCCCAAAGCTGCACTTTCCCCATCTCAGCTTCCTCTTGAAACAGGAAACATCCCAATTAAAGGTCCCATTAAGCACTGTGGACCCCGAACTGGAAAGGTAATTTCTGTCCAGGAAGGTGCATGTTCTGTGTATGCAGGTGAGGGGAAAACTCCCTGGGTGTTTCCTGACTCATCAATCCAATGATTCCATTAATTTTTTGGCCATGTAATCACAGTGGATGGTGTGTGGAGCTGGTCCCCCCATGCCAACATCCACGTGCCATTTTTAGGTAACTTCCTGGCCAGCATTCAGGCAGCCACTAATCAGCTGCATCCATGTGCTGATTTTATGGGAAGCAGCTTCACAGGTCAACCTTCCTGTCCTTCCTAGCTCCCTGGATATAAATACTTGATGGAAAGGGTGTAAGGAAGAAGGAGCCAAAGTCATCTCAGTGGTGTCCAGGGAGAGGATAATATACAAACTGAAACACAGGAAATTACAGTTCAGTTACAGAAAAGCCTCTGGGATTCTAAGGAGACCATCACTATGGGAACAGAAAGGTTTAGTCTCCACCCTTGGAGATGCTCAAGGATACATTCTGAGTGACCCTCTCTAACTGACCTCCTCTGAGCAGGGGGGTGGACAGGTCCAGTTCCAGAGGTCCCTTCCAATCTCTAATGTTTTGGGGTTCTGTGAACTCTTGGTGTATTTTAGCATGGCCTTGGACACTGTGCCATGACAGCAGAGCAGAGCCAAGCTTTAGTACAGTCAATGGTGGATTTGAACCATCCTGCTCCTTTGTCAGGTTCTGGAAGCAAAGTTAAGAGAATTGTCAGAGGACCTGATGTTGCTCAGCCTGAAGGACAGAAGGCTCCAGGGAAACCATACAGCACCTTCCAGTGCCTAAAGTGGCTCCAAGAGAGCTCAGGAGGGACTTTGGACAAGGGCCTGGAGTGACAAAACAAGGGAGAGTGGCTTCCCACTGCCAGAGCGCAGAGTTAAATATCGGGAAGAAACTGTTGCCTGTGAGGGTGGGGAGGCCCTGGTACAGCCTGCCCTGAGAAGCTGTGGCTGCCCCATCCCTGGAAGTGTTCAAGGTTGGACAGGGCTTGGAGCAACCTGGTCTAGTGGAAGGTCTCCCTGCCCATGGCAGGGGAGTGGAACTGGGTGAGCTTAAAGCTCAAACCACTGCATTATGATTCTCTATTCTGATGCTTCTCTGGCACATGTGTGATTTACCTCTGCTCTATCTGGGCTCTCCCTGTCTTACCTGCTGAGCTGCTCGAATCATCCTGCGAGCCTCCTCTTTAATGCTGGGGTTGTCTGGCGGGGGTGGCTGCACCAGTGTTGTCACCTCTGTTCCCCTGAACCCAAAGACCATCGGCCAGCCCAGGTCAAGCTCAGGAACAGCAAGATCTGAGTTCATGGGCCAGTAAGTCCCGGAGGATCCATCCATGTCATTGTCCCCTGCAGTGTCCGTGCTGCCCTCCTGGTTGGCATACTGCGGCTTCTGGAGGTTCTGGATTATGTGGTCTACCTCAGAGCTACAGAGGAAATCGGGGGCTGCCTCCTCGGCCAGGAAGCGCTGGTAACTCTCCTTCCCCTCCTCTGTGAGCACATCCAGGGCCAGGCGGTAATACTCCTTGTAGTGGGGGGGAAGGTAGTTGGGGTCAAGGGGGTTGTCCCCCTGTGAAGAGCTTTGGGATCGACGAGCCATCAGGGGAGGGAAAGCTGGAGGGAAAGAAAAAACATCCATGAGAGCGGTGTCACGACAGCAACACATCTTCCCCATAGAGCAAAGGCAGAGATTAAAAGAACATGGAGCAATGCTGGAGAAAGTTCAATCCAAAGGCATGGGAGCCTAAAATTAGGCAAAGGTGTGAGTCACTTAACCATTACCTTCACACAGTTAACTGTTTTGGGCCAAAATAAGGAACAAATCAACCAGGCAGCCCTGGGATAAGCAAGGCCAATGCATCCAACAGAATGCCCAACTTTCTCTTTTAGGCTGTTGGTTGCTAAGCTTCAATTTATCATTTGTTTTAAAGTCAAGAGCAAAGCTGTAGGTGGTTATTATCTATACTCCATTAAAATTAATTTTCAAGTGCTACAGAAGTTATTTACTATGTGTAATGTGGCCCTAAATGAAAAGTGCCTGCCTGAACACAAGGGCACCCTCTGGACCTTTATAAATTGGGTGTTATAACCACCTCAGCACATGAACAGAAATAGGTGGCGCATGGGTGCAGGTGAGTATAAGGGTGTCCTGCTACTGTAACACAGTCAGAAGGCAGAGGAGTCTTCATGAGATGAAGAAATAAAAAACAAAGGATATGATCACGTCTTCTGTCTCCTTGTGTTGAGAAAAAACAGAGCTGAAGGGGCTCACATGCAATATTTGATAATTGTCTATAGCAGACAATCACTTAAGACTGTAGATAAATCTGATTTTAACCCATTTTTGAAAGAAAAGCTTGTTGTGCCACAACAGTAATATCTGACTGATCCACAGATTGCTCAAAGCATTTTGGCTTTAGACTCTGAACTAATGTCAATGCTGGAATCTTCTCTTCCTGCATCCCACCACTGAGGTGCGTGCCAGAAGAGACTTCCTCATGATCCCCAAAGGGTGAGTGACTCCTGCTAAGTTACATTACTGAAGGTGAGCACAGAACTTGAGGGTCACTGCTGTTGCTGTTGCCATCCAACACTTCTGCTTCCAAAATGGGAAGGATTGCTGTGGACTGGGAGGAAGATAAAGACTTCAGACTCAGACTATAACTCAGATGTAAGGATAAACTAGTTTCAAGTTCTTATATGACCACCTGCCTAGCACACAGCAGTGCTTGTTACTCCTGCCTCAAACTCCCACAAGTTACTCCTGCTCTAAACTGAAACTCCTGATAAAGCTGCATGAAACAACAGGAAAAATTATAGTCTTAATATAAGGATAGGAAAATCCAACAGGTCCATATGTGATGCATTGCAACAGAAAATCATCTTTATAGTCCACACATGCAGCTGCCTTTGCAGTCTGAATTGTCTGCATTCAGTCTTCCCACTCTAATTCTGCCTTTTTCTCTCTGTGTAAGAGAAAAAAGTACAGAGCACGCCAGTATGTATCTCTGGTGGAAGGTGCCCCTGCCTATCGCAGGGGTGTGAAACAAAATGGTCTTTAAGGTCCCTTCCCACTCAGCCCATCTGTGATTTTAGGATTCTCAAGTCACCAATATTCCTGCTTTTAGCTATTCCACCAGTGTCATGTCATTTTAAGGACTTGCTCCCATGTTCCACTCATCTTGGATAGAAGAATATCCAAGATGTCCAACTCATCCAGATATAACCCACAAAGTGGAAAATGGTCCCACAGAAAACTGTACACAGTGCTCAGAGATGGGAGCAGATCAGAGACAAAGGACCAACCGCAACATTAAAAGGAAGAAGCATCAGAAGAAGTCTGTGGTACTGCTGCATAATCAAAGGAGCAGAGGAAATGTCATGCTGGTAATGGCAAAGCAATTTTATATTGATTAATACAATTATTTTACTCCAGTTATAAACAAAGAGGGAGAAGACTGAGCTTTAAATAAGCATCAGGTAATTGACTGTTACTTGGTAGGAGCACGGAAAATGCCAGCACTACACAGATTCAAGAGGAACTCACAAGCCAGAGTGGGCTGGGGATATGGAAGTTTTATTCCTCATGTCCCAAAAAAAGGTGGTTTATGCCTGAACTCTGATTCCTCAGTCTAGAGAAGACATCTGAAAACTGTGACCAGGACATCTCCACTGCCAGCACAAGGACTAAATGGGCAGAAAATTAATCTTGCAGGTGGTAGGTTTGGAGGGACATCAGGAAACACCTGTGCTCAGCTGGGCTGATTTGGAAGAACTCTCCCATTGCTCTGCAACTACCTGACAGGAGGGTGCACCCAGATGGGGGTTAGGGCTCTGCTCCCAGTTTTTACAGTAAGGAGTCATTTGAGTTTCCAAAGTGTTTGTGGTGCTCAGTGTGTTTATGAGTAAGCAGAGAAAATGGTACCAGCAAAGAAGTAAATTTGATGCAAAAGCAAACTGATCCTCATGGGTTTCCCTGAGAACAGGAGAACACAGATACGGAGCTGGAGGTGTCCTGCTACCACTGAATACAGCAGTGGGGGTGGGCTGCTGGCCTGGCAGGGATGATCAGGGGGAGCCTGCAGGGGATGTTTGGAGGGGGCCTGGAAAACCCTGCACTTACTGTGTGTGTGTGGGGGGTTATTTCCTCCTAAACAGACCCACAACTCAGAACTGTGAAATAAAAAACAGAAGCTGTGTTTATGCCCCCATGTGTGTCTGCCCCAGCTCTGCGTATGTTCCATGGCTTGGAGCCACCTGGTCTGGTGGAAGGTTTTATTGCCCAGGGCACGGGGTGGATGAGCTTTAAGGTGCCTTCCAACCTAAACCATCTTGTACTTCTGTGATTCCATTAATTGTCGGCATCCTTTAATTCCCTGGGTTGCAACAAGAACAATACCATGTAGATGAATTCTCATTTTGCATGAAAAATGCTGGTTTATAGATATAAGTAAGTAAATAAATAGCTATACACACATACGCACACACATATACATGCACAAAATTCTGGGTATTTCATTAATCTTCCAAAAACATTCCCTGCCAGGTAAAGCAGAAGGGAAGAAATTACCTGGAACCCCAAAGGATATTTATCACCTTTTGTCACTTTGATGGGTGTGAGCTGAGTTCAGGTCAAGGAATAAATAAAATTTCTCCTGTTACAGCCCATCTTGCTGAATTCAGATGGATTCTACGCTCAGTTCATGGATTTTTTTCAATTTTGTTTTGCTCTGTTCTAGCTCCTGGGATCACCTGCCTGCAGCTGGCAGAGCTCTGAGGCCCTGGGTCAGATTTGGTCTCATGAAGCTGCTGACTGCCAGGCTGGTTCTCCAGTTCTGGATCAAATCATCCACTATTGGAAAAGCAATTCCTCTCCAAATCAGATGGAAGCAATCACATACCACCTCTGGCTGATATTTGTGTTCCTGAGGGAAACAGAACTGGCTTTTAAACTCCTATCTTTTCACTTTTCACTTCTCTCTTAACTAGTCTTGATCCCATTATCCCAGTGCAAAGCTGGATTTGGTGGAGGAGCAATTCACATGCATCAGGAAATAGGAGATGGATTACACATTGTGCCACAATGCCTTGTTATTTTTTTACTCCAGAACTGTACATTCCATGTATTTTGTAGGGGATTCCATGCCTTAGGCCTTGGTTCCTTTCAACAGGAATTCAGGGAACACAACGTCACATTTCCCCTCAGAGGGACAGGAGACTGGACACACATCAGTTATCAGCATGCTTCCCTGACGGCTGGATTCTCCCTGATCAGGGGCACCTAAAACAACCTGGAGAAGACTGAGGGGAGACCCCACTGCACGCCACAACTTCCTCATGAGAGGAAGAGGAGGAGCAGACACTGATCTCTGTGGTGACCAGTGACAGGACTCAAGGCACCAGCTGGAGCTGGATCAGGGAAGGGTTTCATTGGATATTAGAAAAAGGTTCACCCAGAGGGTAGCTGGGCACTGGAACAGGCTCCCTGGCAGAGTTCAAAAAATGTTTGGACAATATTCTCAAGCACATGGTGGGACTCTTGGGGATGGTCCTGTGCAGGGCCAGGAGCTGGACTCGATGATCCCTGTGGTCCCTTCCAACTCAGCTTACTCTGTGATTCCATGACTCCAAGGAGAGGTTGGCCCCTTGTTTGAACTTCACCTGCGTATCTATTTCCTGCAGCTTCTTTCACCCCAGAAAAAGAGAAATGTTGTACTTCTGGAATTCTGAACCACCATAACTGTCAAAGAAACTGAGTCACAAACTGAAAATACCCCAAATGTAGATTTTCAGCCTGAACCTACTGATTAATAGAGAATTTTACTTACTTACAAACTTACTTATTTTATTTAATTAAGAATTTCCTTTTTATTGCTGGTGCAAATTTACAAAATCTTCTGACACAAGTAATGAGGATTTGGGGGAGAAATGAGGATGCTAGAAAGATTAAGGTGTGACAATTTGCTTGGGGGGTCTTTACAATGGGCAACAAAATATTCTTTATAATGGGTAATAAGATAGTCTGTGTGCAGTTACAGCTCAGGCACTGAACTGTCAGTGGGTACAGGAGACAAGCTGATGTCAACCCAGCACCTGCAGCTGTAAGCAGCTGTGTGATGTGTGCAGCCAGAGGTAACCCTTGAACATCCCTCCTTCCATTCCCATGACAATACTGGAAAACTAAGGCCCTGCAGTCCCTTAGTCCAAAAGCCCTGCAGTGCACATCCAGAAGGGAAGAGGAAAGCTCAAGCACATCACCAATGCCCTCCATGCCTTCAATAGCCACAATTTTATTGGGAAAAGTTTCCCAGGAAGAGTGGGAGAGAACTGTCCTGGCATTAGACAGGAAAGGAATTTGGCTACATCCTGCCAATATGACCTGGGGAAAAATTCCAGCAATTGTTTTAAGCTGGATTTTTTGAGCAGAAAACACTGATACAGGACCTGAGAATTTCTTCAGACTACTGAGCACACTGGCAACATCCCTACTGATCCTGCAGCCAAGCTCCTGGTGCTTCAAGGAAAGAAAAATTCCAGAAGGTAAATTAGGCATTAAGGGGGGAAATCTACTTCTCCCCATCAACGAGCCCTTAGGTCTTGGGAAAGTCACTATA